AATTACAACTAATAACAATATCCTTATACATGTCAGAAAAATTCAAAAGGACACATATGCCTTTCTCTTTTTACTATGCAATTGAATAGTAAACACTATATAAAACTAACAACTAAGTAACTTACAGATGATAATAATGATCATAATTCAATTACAAATATAATTAATTAAACTAATTAATATAAAATAATAAATTGTATAGATAAGATTAGAATATGTTTACTGTAATAAATAATCACATAATTTACTTATATGATTATGAGTTGTTTATAATATTTAATTAAGATTATAATTATTTTTGTAATTTATTTCAATTATATCTTTGATATAATTAATTGCATCTATATCTATCATGATTTTTTTAACATTATAAAAATTTCTATTACTATTAATTATTATAATAAAGTAGTTAGTTTAAACAATTATTGATAAATTATAATGTAAAAAAATAGAATAGTTATATGAAATTTATATAACTATCAATATAATATTAAATAGATTAGTAATATTAAGTTAAAATTTAAATAGTGCTCATTTTTATTACTAACGTCTTTATAATAAATAAGAGTACATAGAAATAAGAAGAAAAATATAAAAAAACAATGAGTCATTTAGAGAGAGAGAATCCATTAGGGGAAGAGATAGGGAACGCATATCAGGAGATAAATGAGGAGTCATCACAAAAAGCAACGACAAACGGTGAGAGGGAAGCCACGAATGGGTCTGGCCATTAAGGTATATGGCGATTGACTGTCAGGGCTTTTAAGGCATATTGGGGCTTTGCATGGCAAATCCTGCTTGTGTTACAGCTCTGACATGATATTTGAATTATATTTCTCACATATTTCTCGAAATCATGTTATAAGCTTCTTATGGGATCCCTCCATTGGTCACGCTTATATGTACCTAATGGTTTTTTGGATCTTTGATTCAATTTTAGCCTCGGGATGAATCCTAACATTGAATTGTACAACTTTGTTTGCATTTTGTCCCTTTAAATTATGGGTCCAAAAAATACATCCAACAAAGTCTTGCATCATTTAACTGATATCTGGACGAACCATTTTCAAGATTTTGAAGTTCGTATAGATTTGTTTGATTTGCACTATTTTTGGAGATTTAGATTTCATAATTAAAAGGTAAAAATAGAGAGCAATAACTTCAAGATAGAGTTGCTTGATAATCGGATTGATTTTGTAGAGAACTGAACGCCTTGGGATCATAGGCACTTATGGGTAATCTAAGGTCCACCTAAGGGTATACCGTTGACTAAATCATGAGGATTTACGCTCGTCTATAGTTTCGTAGGAGTTGGGCCAGGGCATTAAGGAGTTTTAGGTTGTCTTGAGCCTAAGGTTAGGGTTTGAATGCAAGTGCCTAGGGTTTATGAGAATTGAGGGTAAGGTGTTAGGGTAAATGGGTAAAATTGCAAGGTCCAGACCTTAAAATGACTGAGAAAGCTTATATTTATGGGAATCATGGGCTGCAATTGGCCCTAAAGAAATGATAGGCCTTTAGGTTGTCTCGAGCCTAAGGTTAGGATTTGAATGCAAGTGAGGTTTGAGGGTAAGGAATTAGGGTAAATGGGTAAAAATTGCGAGGTCTAGACCTTAAGATGACTGAGAAAGCATCTATTTATAGGAATCATCGGCTGCAATCGCCCCTAAAGAAATGATAGGCCAATTTCAGTTATCGATCTTACTGTGAAGTGGTCTGCATTACATGCGATTTGGACTGTGTTGCGAGTCATGGGGGGGGCGTGGACTTAATTGGGGACATTTCAAAGATGCTTTGGGGCATTTTGAGCTTAAGATGCGATTCATGTCCACGCAACACCAACCAGCTCCTAAAAGCAATATGCATCGTAAATAGTGTCAGGCGATGCGGTTTGTGCTGCATAAGGGAGTAAAGTGAACTTTATATCAGATTAATTGTTTTGACCATGACAACTTAAACTGTGTATCAAAATCAAGTGATTTTTAGATTATTTGAAAGCTTATGATGTCTTTTATAACTAAAGATCATATTTGGCCCATAAAAGGTCAGTTTTAGGGCTGGTGGTTTATGCGTCTATTGGGCATTAGGAGGTCAGGCCTAAGGTAAGGGATTTCAAGCTTCCCCCCATCCCTCACCTCAACAGGTTTGGTGGATTATTTGATTGGAACATTATCATTCAAAGGAATGACTTATACAAGGATAGATAGGTATCTCAACCCCTGCCCTCAGAACAATATGGTAACCTTTTAGCACATTGCTCAATCTTAACAGCATCTCCAATAAGCTAGGACTACTGAATATTAGAATTCGTTTTTTAAGTTGACCATAACATCATGGAAAAAACACACTATGGTTTTCAACAAATCTAATCATAAGCTCCAATCTCACTTCGCATTTTGCTTAGAAGCTATAAGTAAAGCTCTTCACCTCTCAAAAGCGAGAATGTAAACAAGAGAAGTGCGTAAGCATGGAGCATGGCGTAGGCACAAGGCACGCCAATGAGTGGAATCTCTCACCTTTATTAGATGTTTATAGGGTCAAGGGTTTAGGTCCTGGTAGTTTAGGAAAGGTAACTAGCTTTGGATCCTAGGACTTCCCTTAAACAAATTAGTGGAGAACTTTGCTCCTCTATGTCAAGAATCGTGGTATTAGGAGTGGTAGAGGGTGTCATAAGACCAATCATACGACAGGAAATCAACCGAAGATCTATCACTAATACTCCATCATATATTAGATAATACTATGGATAAAGCAACACTCATGTTTAGCCAAACCTCAACCGAAGAGGCCGGAGCCTTCAGATTTTGAGCATAATCTGAAGAGAAGTGAAGCCGGCTGTTGCCGCTTCGGTCAGATTCGGATCACTTCGGCCAGATTCGGTCTGCTTCAAATATGATTCAGGTCTTCTTCGCCCAACAAAGAAATAACTATATAAAAGTTTTTTTTTTTTAATCTTTTTCATTATTTGTATATATTTGATATATAAACTTATTTATATTAAATTAAAAAGTAGAGTCCGAAGTCTTCCTCCAAATCAAACAAAGCATCGAATTGCCTCATTTCTCACCACACCGAATAAGACTCCAAAGAAAATCTGACAACATTGGTGTCACCAGCCTGAACCACATTGAGCATGGGCATTTTCAAGATTGACTTGCATTACTGGATGAGGGGCTTGAGTTCGGCAGAGATCGAGCTTCCAATGCTCAAGCGAGGGAAGCTAGAGCTTAGTTTGGTTGACTTGTTTACGTAAACAAGCCTCTATAAAAGCCATGGAAAACATAGCACGAATTCGTACGCGCACAGACGCTCCCCATTTAGATGGACCATCTAAATGTATGGTGATCCTCGTAAAAAAAGCCATTTTTATCAGTGGCTTTCAAACTCAACCGAATAAAAAATTAAACGAAAACGTCTGCTTTTAAAAATTCTCTCTTCGGAGGGTGTGGTTGTGGTTTTTTTAAGGTTGCAACCTTAAACAATCCGGTTAAAAGGCGCTTCCAAATTTTATTATAATATATAATTTTAATGTAAATTTTTTTTAAGATTATTTAAAAATCTATTTTTATCCATAATTATAAAATTTTAAATTTCAAAATCAATTAAAAGCACGTAGATCTTTACACAAAAGAAAATATTGAAACTGGATGGTCTAAAAAAATGTGGTGTAAGATGCTCTACTTCTTATACTCAAAAATCTTTTTTTGTTCGTATTCATGCATCTCTATGTCTTCATAATCTTTTTTTTTCATGGAATTTTCAGGTGCATCTGTAATGCTACATTAAGGTTGCAACCTTTTCCCCTCTTCGAAACATTGAGAATGAAAATAATGAAAACGCACGCTCTCTCTCTTTCTCTGAGCACCAGAGCTCTCTCTCTCTTGCAGAGCCACTACAACCAGAGCTCTCTCTCTCTCTCTCTCTCTCTAAAGGAGAGCTCATCAAACCAGGTATGCTGCCTATGTATCTCTTTTCTTCACAGTTTTTTTAGGGATTCTCAGAATAT